TGTTAGGAATCGAATGATGTGTCTGTCTCGCGGACTCGGGCGAGGGTTGTTGCTCCCCGCTGCCATTTGGCTCAGAGGGCACCGATGCTGACAAATCCTCGGTCACAGGGGCCGAAGATGTGGCAGTGGCGGCGGCAGGCATTGCCGCAGCAACTTGAGCAAAGGAGCGAGGGCTGGATGGCGTGCGAGGGGTGCGGGGAGAAGCATTGGAAGTGTTTCCGATGATGGGATGTTGCTCCCCGCCGCCGTTTGACGTCCTGGTCACTGGCTCGGCCGCGGGCACGACGGCACGTGCCGAAGACTCGGTCGCACCGGCAGCGGGGGACGTCGAGGGCACATGAGACGAGGCCCGGGCGGTAGAGGCAGAGTGGCGGGCGCGAGGGCGAAACGGGGTGGTCATAGGGTCAGGGAAAACATGGTTACGGTCGTGGCGAGCGCTGCCATGTTTTGTGTGTTTTGCAGAACGACGAGTTTGGGAAGGCGAGGTGGTGGTGTTGCTTGGAGGTGACTCGGCACTCGGGCGTTTAGCACCGCGGACCTGGGTCCAAGAATCCTCGCCGCCGGACTCAGTGGCCATGTCCGCGGGGCAAGCAAGCGAGCAAGCGAGCGGACACGGTGGGAGCGACGGCGCCGCCAAAACGCGGGCCGCAAAGAGCGGGGTTGCAGATTTTGTCTGACAACGTGGTGATGAGGCTGTTACTGGCAAACATCAGGAGGTCATCGACATAGACGGCGATCCAAATGGCATCGCGGCCATTGTTGAGAAAATAAACACATCGGTCCTTGAGGCAGCGAGTAAACTTCATCTCCGTGCACAGCTGCTGGTCGAGCATCTGGTACCAAGCACGTGAAGCTTGCTTGAGGCCATAGACAGCGCGGTTGAGCTTGCCATGAGTGTAGCCATTGAAGTACTGCTCGAGACCTTTGGGCACGGTGATGTAAATAAATAAATAAATTAGGTGTGAATGTCCTCCTCAAGTGGAGCGTTGAGAAAGGCAGTCTTGACATCCATCTGGTGGATGATGAAGCCATAGTCGACAGCAAGAGCAATGAGGGTACGAATGGTCACCATGTTGGCAGTGGGCGAGTAGGTTTCGTTGTAGTCGATGCCGTAGAGCTGCTTGAAACCTTTGGCCACAATGCGTGCCTTGAAGTTGCCGTCATGCTTGCGAGCAAAGACAACACGAAGGTCGAGGGGCTTGATGTGAGCTGGAAGGTGATCTAGTCCTTGGATGACGTTGTGCTCGTGAAAGGAATCAGCCTCCTTCTCAAGGGCACGGGTCCAGCTGTCAGCATCAGGACTGTGCATGGCTTCCTTGACGGTAGCAGGCAGCTTGTTGTAGTTGTCGGTGGTGGTGATGTTGGCGCTGAAATGAGGATGGTCAAGGAGAAGAGGGTCAGTGTCGTCGTCGAGGTCATCGGTAACAATAATGGTAGTGGTGGTAGTAGTGGAGGTAGTGGAGTCAGCAGAGTCAGCAAAATCAGCAGCAGAAGTAGTGGGTTCGTCGAGGTCAATGTCGTCAAATTGGTCGTGTTGAGGTGGTACAGTTGCATTCTCCCCTTCACCTCGAGCACGGGGAACAACTTTGACGTGGATGGTCTCGATGATAGTGTTGGTGTCAGGGCAGTAGACCTTGTGAGAGAGTGAAGTCGGTGAAAAGCCCACATAAATACCGTGGCGGGCCTTGGGACCGAGCTTGCCGCCACGGCGCAGCGGGTCAAAGGCAAAAGCGTCGGCGCCAAAGGGGTGCAAGTCGCGGATGTCGTGGGGCTTGATGCCGGTGAGGAGCTCATAGGCACAATAGCCATTGAGGTGCTCCTTGGGGCGGATGTTGATGAGGTACTCGGCGTGCTTGGCAGCAAGGTCACGAAATAAATCACGATCAACAAAAAAATGAGCAGTGGCACCACTGTCCACCAATGCACGATTGCTGGTGGCCAGGTTGGTGGCTGACAAACAAGTCAAGAACAACTCGTGGTGACGATAATGTGTTTGTGCGGGCGAATAATTCACAGCAGGAGCAGCAGGCAAATGGGAAGGAGGAGCAGCAGGTGTAGCGGGCAAATGGGGAGGGGGAGGAAGGGACAAGGTCGCAGTCATGACGGGGGCCGCAAACTGCTTGCCATTGTGCTTCTCGTGCGCGCGCTTCTTGCGGCACTGAGATGCATCGTGGCCATAGATGCGACAAAATTCACAGTTGGCATTGATGCGCTCACTCTTTGGGTGGGGCCCGTGGTGTATACCATGGCGACCACGGCCACGACCACGTCCACGACCGCGTCCGCGACCACGTCCACGGCCATGCCCGCGCCCGCGCCCTCCACCATGCTCAACAGCAAAGGCACCCTGTTTAGGTTCGGCGCGGGCACCAGCAGGCGTGAGTTTGTGTAGGTTAGCAGTCACCACCTCAAAGAACTTGCCCAAATCCCAAGACGGTTGATACAGGTTTGCAATCACGTCCCTGAGTTTTGAAGGCAGGCCATCAACCAGCTGGGCGATGACGAGGGTAGCCGAGTAGGCGCCCTCAATGCGAAGGGTATCGATAATAATAATAAATTAGGTGTTTGAACCTCAGAGCCGAAAGCAAAGCTGTGCAACCCCGACATCAAAATCACGACGGCACGCAAAACAACACAAGAGAACAAGACATTTTCATCGGCTTCTATCATGCCGAGGAGTACAAGCGCGAAGAATTACGCACATAGAAACAAAAATCGTACAAAACGACCAGGTATAACCAGAGATGGCCATTTAAAACAAAAGACACCCAAAAAGGGAGTCACACATATCACAACTACAAGCCATCACAGCACAAACACAATGAACACCACGGCACGCTCACATACAACAAGAGACAGCGTCGGGTTGAAAAGGCAACCGACCACAGAAGGAAAAGACATCATACAAAGGACTTTACAAAAATTCAGCAAAAATACCACACAAATACAGTCAAAATTAAAGCAAAATTAAAACAAAAAAACAAGTCAAGCCATGAAAAGATCACAACGAGAACCACCTAGGGAGCGACAGGTGCACACAGGGATCCCCACAGAGGGACCCCCGAGACGGTGCCTACCTACGACGAGCGCAGGCAGACACCGCCAAAGTGGCGCTGGATGTGGTCAGCGTTCATCTGATGGACCAGCGCCGCAAAGCGACCCTTCCACCGAGGAACAAAGGCCTCATCCAGCCCCGGCTGGTACACACCACGGGCCTCGGCGCAGCGGGCGAGCTGACCAAGCAGATCCACAAAGGAGGAGGCGAACCCACCGGTTGTCGTCATCGCCGCAGGGACGATCAGAGTTTTTCCATGGTTGAAACCGGTGTAGTAGTCGCGCTTCTCCTTTTCGGCTCGGCGAAGGGCAGCGCCCACCTTGATGCAGGCTTGCGAGGTGGTCGGGGGTTGGGCTGTGCGCACAGTCACATCAATGCCCAGGTCGGGCAGAGCTGGGCCCAGTGCACCGCCGGGAAAGGGGTTGCGGCAGTGCAGGTCGATGCGGCAGCTCTGACCGTTGGCGTTGTAGCCAGACTTTTCCACCCAGACATGGGAGAGGGTGGCGTACCTGAGCAGGCGGCCCATCTCGTCGCGAAGGGCGTTGTGTCGCTTGATGGGACGGCAGGTCAACAGGTGCTCGCGGGTCAGTCGCGGCTGAGGTGTCTTGCTGCTGCAGAGCGGGCACTTGTCCGTCGGCTTGACGTTGATGAGTTCATGGAGGCCAAAACCCATCATGGACACGACCGCAATGGCAAAGGTCGTGTCGCTCAAGCGACGCAACTTGTCCCGACCCCGCATGGTCAAGACAGTGCTGACGCCCCACTCGCGCGAGGCCAGATATGCCTGCTGCAGGTCCAGCGCGCACTTGGCCATCAGGTCGTCCAGTGCCGCCTTGGAGCGGAGGGCAATGATCTCAGCTGGTCGCTGGGTCGCCGCGTCCTTGACCGTGGGAAGCCAGCTCGCTGCACGTGGACCTCAAAGTCGGCAGCCCTCGATTCATCCTCCAAAAGTCGATCGTAAACTCGAGGGTAGCGAGTGGCCAGCTTGGCCATGTTGCAGACATAAGCCACCGGACCGCGCTCAACCAAGTCGTGCAGGCCAAAGCCCCCGGTGTTGGCCCGCGTGAAGAGGCGAGCCTCAAGGAGCTGTTCCAGCGTAACGTCATGACCATGCGTTGCTTCGTCGTTCAGTTCACGTCATGCACGTTCATGAGTGGTGTGTGAGAATGGGACCCATGTGTGAAGCCATGTACATGAATTTCCACACTCCTACTGTTTTTGCATTCGCTCAGCTTCACCCACTCTGGGTCTAGTCGCTAGAGCACCCCATCGTTGCGATAACTTTTATGCCCTCACTCACTGACTACGCCCTCACTCACTGACAAACTCCCTGACGAACTTACTTACAAACACGCAGACACAGACACAGACACAGACACAGGCACAGACACAGACGCAGACACAGACACAGACACAGACACAGACACAGACACAGACACAGACACAGACACAGACACAGACACAGACACAGACACAGACACAGACACAGACACAGACACAGGCGTGCCTTTTCATGATGGGAGGCACCCAGGTCAATCATGCGTGGTTGGTGCACCTCGCAATGCCTTTGCAGACCGCCTTGCTTGTGACTCCCGTCGTCTCTTCTTGTTGTTGTGATACCTGAGGTTGGTTCGGGTTGCACGTTTCCTATACTTGGGATGCGACTCTACAACTATTCTATGGTGCATCTGGTCTGGTCTGGTCGATGTGAATGCTTGCCGACTGCAGCTGGTTCAATTGATCTCAAGACACCACCAAACACCTCGCCTCGTACCAATATACACCTTTCAAGTCTGTTTGAAACGCTTCTCGCAATCCAAAACCTTTTTTTGAGTTTTTGCAGTTCTGCTCCGTCACTCTCAAGAGAAAAACCGGTTTGAGAAGACAGCCCTTCGGTCGGATAGTAGTGCAACATCAAGACTCATTTTCACTGATGATAGGCAAGTCTAATTGATCTTCGATTGTGTGTACCCGTCTTGTCTTAGCAAGGGCGATGATCAAAAACTGAAAAAAAAAAAAAAAAAGAAAAGAGGCCTCACGAATTGAGGGCAGGAGAAATCAAGGGAAGTTTACTGGGAAGTGAACTTGGCAACACCCGAGGTCTGGGTGAGGAGGTTGTCAACGGCGGCGTAAGCCACATTCTCGTTCACGACATCGAGACCCATGGCGTAGTAGCCAAAGATCTGGTGGGAAAGGGGATCCCAGGTCTTGCCACCGTCGGTAGTCTTGACGAACCAAGCCTTGGGGGCAAGCGAGTTGAGCTCACCACCAATGGCCCAGCCGACGGTCTCGGAAGCCCAGCGGATGTCGAGAAGGCTGAAGCCAACGGTGGGGTCCGACTGGTAGGGAGCGTAGAAAGTGCGGTTCCAGTTGGTACCGTCCTGAGTGCACCAGATACCGGCGCCCAGGAACGGAGGATCGGAGGACTCGCCAACGGCACAGCAGTGGTCCTCGGAGGTGCAGTCAATACCGTTGAAGTAGAAGGTGCCGTTCTGGGCAAACTGGGTAACCCAGGTCTTACCACCGTCAGTGGACTTGACGATCTGGGCCTTGTAGCCGTTGTCGGCCTCAACACGGCGAGTCTCGCGGAAGGAGAAGGTGGAGGGGAAGTAGCCATCGGCATCCTGGAAGTCAGAGCGGCGAAGGCGGGGAGAGCGGGTGGGCATGTCGTCGTTGCTGGCGGGCTGGTCGTCCGAGGCGCTCTCGGGCCACTCGCCGGCAGCAATGTACCAGACGCTGTCCGAGGGGAAGGCGGCGTAGCGAGCGGCGGTGAAGAGCTTGTCAGCGAAGACGGGCTTCCAGAGCTTGCCACCGTCAGTGGTCAGAGCGATGCCCTGGTGGCCGCGGTACTGGCCAGCGCAACCAAACTTGGAACCACCATCGCCATCCTTGCCAAGGTAGCGCACGGACTGGGAGAGGCCACCACCAAGACCACGCTCGAAGGTATCGCCATCGTCGTTGGAGTAGAGCTCGCCAAAGATGGAAGTGACAATCACGGTGTCATCAGCAACACCGAGGGCAAGGAGGAGGGCATCGGCACCAAAGTCAGCCTGGCTGGCGTTCCAAGTCTTGCCACCGTCAGTGCTCTTGAGGATGGCGGGACCCTCGCCGTTGGCGTCACCAGCAATGAAGCCCTCAGTTTCGCTGTGGAAACCAATGCCGAGCTCGGTGGTGAGAAGGTTCTCGGCCACGAGGTTCCAGCCGGGGGTGGCGGTAGCCAGGGCGACGGCCGTAGCCAAAACGCAAATGGTAGCCTTCATGATGATAGTCTAAAACCAGCCAGAGAGAAGGAAAAGGCCCGATGAATATTATTATGGAGAGGAGCAGTTGAGCGATCGCAGGGTTCACGTGCCAAAAGACTTGTCAGTCAACAAGAAAAATCCAGTGGACCGGCAGCCACAATACGCGAGAAACAACAAGATCGGGCCAAATACCAGGCTTTGCTGGGATCAGATCCTTGCCCAGGACAGGCGATCTCGGGGTGGATCTGACCACCGGCTGCCATCCCAGTGAAAGGCAAGTGTGCCCCGCGAAATACAGATACGCACCAATTTGTGTCTTGACCAGAAGGAAAAAATGCCGCCCCTCTCATCGGCCACTGACCGTCAAAGAAAGAGAGAGAGAGAGAGAGGGAGAGAAAGAGAGAGAGAGAGAGAGGAGAGAGAGATTGAGAGAGGGAGGGGAGGATCGGAGGAGCGAACTGGTTCAGTGGACTGTTGTGTTGTGTTGGATTCAGTACCTAGGGCACCTTGAATCGCAGACACGTGCAGGTTTGTGTTGGAACGACCGTTTTGGTGAGACAACCACGGTTGGTGTAGTTTTAAACTGAACGCTAATGTAAGTTATTGCAGTTTTTGAGGGGGTTGAAGTTGGTAGCGGGGGTGTCGCATTCGGTGTGCCTGACCCTTTCATCTAAGTGATTGGAGGTGTGCGTTGCGTTAGGCTGTGTTTTTATTTGTGTGTGGCGTGATGTGTTTTTGGAGGACACTATTAATAGAAAAGACAGAGAACAGCAGTTGTAAACACATTCCCCTTTAAAATAAAATCTTAAAATTGAAGCTTCAGCCCTGGCTCAAGTCGACACATTCTCGGTTTGAGTCAAGGGTGTTGGCGTCAATTGGCGCTTTCGCTTCCGACAAGATACACACGGCTACACTCACATACGTGCACAGACACTTGCAAACATAGAGCAAGATAGAGACATACGCTCATCTGCCTGCGTGATTGCTGTATTTGGGGTCTGGGGATATGCACTGTTCCCCGCCCGCAGTGCCAGTTCGAAGCACTTGGCCTTTACGCCTCCATGGCCAAGAAGGGGTTGGCAATCTCCTCCATGCCATCCTCGGGTGAGATGACAACGATGGATGATGAGCGGCACACAATCAGGCCCAGTGTTCGGGTCTCGTCCGTGAGTCGCGTCGGGTCTGTGGCGTCTGTGCGGCACCGCAAGAGACCATTCGCAAAGCAAGGTGTGTCAGTGAGCACACCCGTCATCAGGTCATGTGGCAGGGTTACAGCAGAGATACAGCAGACACATACCACGCAAGTACTCCTGTGCATCATCCAACACCATGTTGAGCAACTGATCATGTCCTTTTAGAATGCCGGTGACTACTCAACGGATCAAACAAGCGGTGAGAAGCATTCCAGCACTTGCACGACAATGCTCCCAAGGTTAGGGTTGCTTGCAACGCCGGAAACTGAATAAAAAAAAGGAGCAAGGAGAAAGCTGAGTCAAGGACCGGCGGCGGGGGTTTTGGTGTAATACCTTCGCGACCACCCGCAAACTTGACGCGGATGCGCTTGTCGGTGAAGCGGTCCAGTTCAATAATGTTTTCACGCTTCTTCTTTTCGCCCTTGTAATCACTCTATTTCAAGACAAGTGCCATTGATCTCAGTGAGCAGGAACAAGGAGGGCGTTCGCAGTGCAGCGCATGCAGCCACAGCGAAAGGCCGATACTAACCATGATTCTGGTTGTGGCCAAGACGATGGATCTAAAAACAGAAACGGGCAAGTTGGTTGATCAAGCGAGGCGTCAAACTCTCTGCATTCACATTGAATAAAAAAATAAGTAAATGAAGAAGCATCACGTGTGAGCGGGTTGTGCACATCATGGTCAAGTTTCAAGTGGTCAGAGGCAGAAGCATCCCAGGGCAGAAGCATCCCAGGGCAGAAGCACCCCAGGGCAGAAGCACCCAAAGAGCAAGAAGCACAGCACCTGGTTCGTCGAAACTCACAACAACGTAAAGTAAGTGTGTGTGTGTGTTTCCTCTCTCTACGACAGTGTGCTTTTGTCAGACTTTTTGACTTTACTTGTGGAAGAAGCAGCTGAAGCAGCAGCAGCAGCAATAGCAGTAGCAGAAGAAAAAGAAGAAGAAGCATTTGTAGTGTCGACTGCGACTGCGACTGACGACTTGTTCGTACATCTTCTCTCCTTCGACAGCAAGTGGCAGTGACTCGGGCCATCATGGCGGTATGGTTGACTGGCTCTGGTGGCTGCAGGCTTGTTCTTGTTGGCGGCGGGTGCAGATTCACAAGGTGGTTTGTGGTGGTGTCACTGTGGGTGTAGGCAGCCGCTGCGGAAATTCTTGTGGCAGCCCGGGGTCGGCTGACGCAAATGACTTTGAACCGCCCCAAGTCACTCAATGCGTTGACCCTCAACATGGTTCGCCTCATGCAAGACGAGCTTCAAGTAAGCGTGTGGCCACTTGGCCCTGACCGATCATTTCTGTTGGCTGCCTTCTTGTGCCCTGTTCATGCTGCTCAACATCTTGTTCCCATGCCTGCCCAATATATATATATATATATATATATATATATATATATATATATATATATATATATATATATATATATATATATATATATATATATAT